CTACCACTGCTTCCCGACTGACGCCTACTCGTCCAGCTACTGACGAGCCTTCTATTGACTATTCTCCTACCATCGCCGAGGATGGCACTATCGAGTCTCGCTCCGGTAATTGTCTGATAGCCTTCTACTCCCGTCAGCTCCTGCCCGCCGAGATAAACTACACTACTGATGAACGTGAGGTTCTCGCAGTAGTTTATGCCGCTCGACACTGGCGGCACTACCTGCACGGGGCACCATTCACGGTGCGTACAGACAACTCTGTTGTCCAGGCTTTTTTGACAAAACCGAAGCTCACTCCTCGACAGGCTCGCATGTGGCGCAACCTATCCGAGTTTAGTTTCACCACTGAGCACATCAAAGGTGAAACTAATCGGGTCGCAGATGCCTTATCCCGACGCCCTAACCACGACCAGGAGCACATCCAGCTCTCTTCCATCTCGGTCACCTCCGTCCACCACTCGGTGATCGATGAGTTTCGCACTCAGTACCGCCACTGCCCCGACTATCTCGACATCCACGTGGCCCTTCGGAGTGGCAAGACCGTCCCGAACTACTCTCTCGGGGACAACGGTCTTGTGTACTGGCACGGTTCACAGCGCACCAGAAAGCCCCGTATTTGTGTTCCCTCCACTGGACAGCTACGTGTCTGAGCAGTAGCAGAGTTCCATGAACAGGCAGCTGCCGGTCATATGGGCTTCCACAAGACGTTGGCTCGTGTGAGCCGCCTGTACGTCTGGCCGAAGCGCAAGGACTTTGTGAAGGACTACATCGCAGAGTGTCCGACCTATCAGGAGGTGAACAGTGCGAGCCACTTGCCTTATGGTTTGCTCCAGCCTCTTCCTATCCCTGAGGGTCGTTGGCAGTCCATCTCGATGGACTTAATCGGTCCTCTTCGTCCTCCGACCCCTCGCGGTCATGATGCTATCCTGGTCGTCGTCGACCGCTTCACGAAGCGTGCACGCTTTGTTCTGTGTCGCTATGCCATCAGTGCACGTGAGGTCGCCGACATCGTGTTTGACCAAGTCGTGCGTGACCACGGCTTACCTCTGAGCATTATATCTGACCGTGACCCGCGCTTTACCAGCCGATTCTAGCGACGGCTCCACGAGGTATACGGCACTCAGCTCCGCTTCTCCTCGTCTTACCATCCTCAGACTGATGGTCAGACCGAGATCACGAACAGGACTCTCGGAGATATTCTTCGAAAGATTGTTCGTGACGACCAGCAGTGGGATCTTCATCTTGCCCACGCGGAGATAGCCTACAACCACGTCGTCTCGCCAGCCACGGGGATGTCGCCTTACTATTGCGACCTCGACTATCACCCTCGTGTTCCTGCAGACTTCCTTCGACCGTCCCAGACGCACCCTGATACGAGTTGTCCCGCGCTGGATGATTGGGTTGCACACATGACGTCGATTATGAAGGCCGCACATGAGCACATAGCCGCTTCCCAGACTCGCATGGMAGCACGTGCGAACCGATCGAGAATGGATCATCCATTCAAAGTCGGTGATGATGTGCTTATCGACGCCCGCCACTTACARCTCGAAGCGGACACGCTTCGCAAGTTTCGGCGTCGCTTCTTTGACCCATGTCGCATCCTCTAGGCCGTCGGTTCTGATACGATATCTAGCCCGGTCAGCTTTCGTGTGAAGCTGCCCGACTACCTACGCCAGGCTCGTGTGCATGATGTCTACCACGTCTTGTTACTGCGTCCTTACTGCAGACCGTCTGAGCGTTTCGTTGGACGACCATACGAGCGCCCTCCAATCATCATGGTGGACGGTCACAAGGAGTTCCTCGTTTCAGACATCATTGGTCGCCGAGTCACCGACGACAACCCTCCCCACGTCGAGTATCTCGTACGTTGGAAGGGTTACCCTGATGAGGAGGCTACCTGGGAGCCCCTCGACCACTTGCAGCACGCTCGCATGTTGGTGCGTGCCTATGACCGTGCTCGTCGTGCTGGGTTCACTGCTCCTCCTCAGGCCACTGACCCTCCTCCTTCTCGTCCGGCTGAGGAGACCGCTGAAGTCGAGCCTGCTCCATCTGAGGCAAACCTTCAGCAGCAGCCGGATGCTTCTGAGCGTCCACAGCGCACTCGTCGTCGTCCTGCTCGATACGACGATTGACTCTGACTTACCTTCCCACGTCTTCGACTTCTCAGTATTCCATCCACATCAGTTTTGGTACTTCAGCTCTTCGACGCTGCGACTCTTCCTCGACGGCATTCCAGACTTCTCGTCGTCGACGTCATTGGCAGCTTCATGGATTTCATCACGATCAGCTCTGCCTAGTTCAGACGTCGCCACTCTCTTACCACTCTACCCTGTACAGTACCCTGCTTGTGTTGCACGGTGGTCTCCCTTTAGCCGGGTTCCTCTGAGTTGGGCTCTCCCTTGGTATACGCATAGGCATCGGGACCATAGCGTTGCCCTGGCTTCCCATCTTACGGATCTTGCTCCGACTTTCCTCACTTTAGGAGTCATTTGCATGATTCTCTCACCCATCATCTTTCTACCCTTCGCCGGTCCTCACGCCCTAGTTAGGCAGCCCCGCATGCTTCATCTAGGTGCGCCTAGTATACCAGGCTCCCCTGTTCTTTTGCATGGTTGACCCTCCATAGCGGTCACCCCTTAGTCGAGCATTACCCGCCCTGATGGTCTATCTATTAGGGTCATTGGTTTTGTTCGCTCTCAATTCCCTACCCTCATTGAGCCTGATGACATGTGTCTCCCTGTTATCTATGTGTGGATGCCCTTAGGAGTTTTCGACCCCTAGGCTGCATTCGCCACCCTCAAAGACCATCCCACTCTTTGGTTTGCGACACACTTCTCATGTGACATATGATAGACTTGTTGTTGCTTTGTTGCTCGCAAACTGAGGCTACTGCCTCTTACATTTCTAGGATCTAGTTGTCACTACTTTCTGCTTTCCTAGGACATATATGCTAGTTAGTTGCTTTTGCTTTCCTAGGACATGTATGTTAGTCAGTTGCTTCTGCTTTCACTTAGGCTGTTAGCTGTGACATTTTATATGCTAGGTTGCATCGCATGGACTCAGCATGGAGCTTGCTCCGCATCCTAGACTACTCAGGTTTTCTTTTCTTTGGTAGAGTTCCGCTTCTTGGCGGAAGCATGTTTGTATCTAGGCGATCCATCACAGGCCGAGGATCGTGTAGCGGACCTC